TACACTCTAAAAAATGCTGGGTTAAATATAACCCAACGCTGGGTTAAAAAGGGACAAAACCAGCTATTGGGTTGTTTTGACCCAGCGGTTGGGTTCAAAACAACCCAACCGCTGGGTTAAAACAACCCAATAGTTGGGTTTGTCCCTTTTTAACCCAGCATTTTTTAGAGTGTAGCAGAAAAGAAGCGCGATCCTCCCAGTATGGCGTCTACAAACAAGATTACCCAGAACTCAATGCAGCGTGACGTCACCTTCACATTCTCTATAGATATTTTGCATAAAGTGTCAATGTGTTATAATTTGTTATTTCAATATCTTTAGAGAAACTAAATTAATTGGGAGGATATAAAAGAGTTTATTTTTATTTTTATACATATTAGACATTGTAGTTCACACTCCATACCAGGTGGAGGCGGTAATGCACCAATAAGTTGTTTGCCAACTGCCAGTAAACCCTAGAAGAAGAAGAAGAAGAAGAAGAAGAAGAAGTCTTTAAGAATGGTTTGGCGATGTGACGTCATAAGGCTGCGCTTCTGCGTCTGTGATTCGGCTGAAGAATGGTGTTTTTAATCAACACAACTCGTTAAAACTAGTAATGTTCTTTGCAGCGAAGTATTTGTCCGGAAAGGTAAAAATGACAGTTATTTGAATGAATTATACAACACAGAAAAACTCCTGAAGCGGCTGAGATTCACGTGACTCACTATTATAAAGATGGCGTTTATTAAAGAGGAGAGTGAAGACGTGAAGATTGAAGAAACATTCAAACATGAAGATACTGAGGAACAAACAAAGATGGAGTTTATTAAAGAGGAGAGTGAAGACATGAAGATTGAAGGAACATTCAAACATGAAGATACTGAGGAACAAACAGGTTGGTTTTTATTCTCAAAGCTGAACTCACTCATTTGATCCTTATATAAATGTTCAGCTCTACAGAAATCGAGAAGTAGTTTAAACAAAACCATTATTTTGTGTAACAGTAAACTTCAATTTGACATTTGTTTTGTTTGTAAGTGATTTTTTCCCCCTGCTTGTCCTCAGAAGTGCTATACTACCAAATGAGCATGTAAATAACAGTAAATGTTCATTACAAGCAATAAATAGTCATGTGTCAGAAACACCAGCCAACTTATAAATAAATAATTTCTCCAGCTGACACGGCTTGGTAGAGTCACTACATGCTGCTTATCTTTGTTCTTCATTTAAAAATCTTTGGTGAACAAATAATACAGTCAGTGGCCAGAAACTTCGTAATGAACTGCAGCAGCATGAAATCAAATTGTTCATGTTTTGAGCAACACAAACAGTTGATATCAAATACTTCAGTTGTGCACTAAAGAAAACATCAGTTGTGACTTTCATATCTTCTACCAAGCTCCGTAGTAAATGTATTATCAGAAGTTGATCTAGGATGAGTGTTTCTTCTCCTGAACTTTCTTTGATCACTCCTGTGTTTGATAATTTAAATGAATGATGAAATAATCAATTCATCATTAACCTTAATGCAGTATGCACCTATTGCAGTGGCATAAAATCCCGAATGAAAGGGATTTTTAGTCTGAAAGTTGTTTTTTTTTTTGTCTAAATGAAAGGCAAGTAGTAGGACTGTAAAATTAACAGATGTGATTTGATAAAATGAGGAGATTGTGCTGTAGTTACATTTGGGATCATTTTACTTTAAATGGAGGTTAACCCATTTAATCCCCTTTATCAATGTAAAAAAAAGCTCATTGATAATTCATTGATAAAGCTCTAAAAACTTTACTGACTGATGTTTTAGTGCACTTCCTGCAAATATGGAAAAAAATGAAGGGTCTCAATTAAATATGTGCAGTTTCACATGGTTAGTGCAAATTGTCACATGACCAAAGCAGTTTAATTCCTGTTTGCACCTTGAGATGATAACTGCATCAAAACTTAAAAAAAAAAAAAAAGGCTAGTATAGCCTAGTAAGTTAACATGACAAAGATTTTTGGTACACATTATCGTTAAGGTGTCTAGTATTAAAGGGGTCATATGATGCTGCTAAAAAGAACATTATTTTGTGTATTTGGTGTAATGAAATGTGTTTATGCGGTTTAAAGTAAAAAAAACACATTATTTTCCACATACTGTACATTATTGTTTCTCCTCTATGCCCCGCCTTTCTGAAACGCGTCGATTTTTACAAAGCTCATCGATCTGAAAAAGCGAGGTGTGCTCTGACTGGCCAGCTATCCAGTGCGTTGTGATTGACC